CGGGGGTACCCGCTCTCCCTAGGCAGAGGTCCCAGGCTGAGCCAAAGTCCTGCCGCCCCGCAGAGCTGGAGGAGAGCTGCAGGATGGTGCCAGAGCTCGCACTGAGCACAGGACCCCCCTCCCACTCCTCTCTGGGCAGCAGAGACTGTAGCCACAGCTCCGTGTTGCCGAGCACTCACCTTTGTGATTTTGCATCCACCAACGCCAGCGAAGCGCTTCAGCGAGAGCGTGAGAATGTTGGAAGCTCGGTGGATGGTGAAGCGTTTGCTGGCCGACACTTTCTTCTTGCATCTGCACAGGAAAAGCTTGAGCTATTGAAGCTGTTCCCCTACCCAGATGATTGCCAGCCCTGGCTGCCTGGCAAACCCCATGGAAATGAGCCTGCTGGCAGCATGTGCTGCCCCAGGGTACCTGCCAGGGTCCTCCTCGTGTAAGGAGGGAGCCAAGGAGCACCAGGCTTCATCACAGGCTTCTCTGGCCACGTAGCTCTCGGTTTAGCCACAGGGCAGGTCAAGAAGCCCTCCTGTACCACAGCAGGCCTCCCACCAACGCACCCACAGGCCCCTTGCCACCCGTGGCCCCACACACTCACTTGGCACACATGTAGGCATTCTCCCCACCCAGCACGTCCGGCCTCACGAACAGCTCCAGCGCCCGCGCTATGTTTGCAGCACGCTGCAAGGACAGGGAGATCAGGGCGTGAGTGGCCTGTTCATGCGACAGCCCGGCTCCCTGCGGAGACGCCGGCTCCGAGCGAGAACACGGAAGGGGAGCACAAGGCCACAGACAATGCTGAGCGCGTGAGCCCACCACCAGCCAGGCACTGGCCAGCTGCGAGGGACGGCTGCGCTGCCGCCAGCATCACCAAGCCTCCACGGAGGAGACGTGGCTTGCACCCAGGCAACAGGCACTGCTCGCCAGGCAGAGAAGGCAGCGCAACAGCAGAATCTGCCTCCCTCTTGCCTGCACCATTCCGTGACACTGGCAGGTTAAGGAACCTCGCAAGTGACGGTGCAGCTGCAGGAACGTCCCCACCAAGAGCAGAGCTCCCCCCACCCCTGACCCGGCTGCAGTACCTCGATCTCCAGTGACAGGTCCAGGTAAGGGTCATAGGTGTCCGAGACGCTCTTGCACACCGAGCACTTCACTGCAAAAGAGCGAGTGATGAGCACACCCTGGCGCAACCTTCGCACAGCACAGGCAGCGGCAGGATTCCCCCTCAATGGGTTTAGGTGCTGGGACCTGAGCACTGGGATTCACAGCCTGGTGAGGAGGAAGGCTGGCAACTCCACTGTGTGCTGGGACAGCAAGTGTTGCCACATAGCCAGCAACATAGGTTCCTTTGCTGCTGGCAGCGAGCTGGGGACCCACAGCCAGCAGCTTTTTCCATCATCACAACAGGGGTCACAACCCACAGGTACCACCAGACCAACCAGCTGCAGCTCTGGGTCACTCACACATGCTTAGTGATTTTCCCAGAAGGTTTTTACTGCGAGGCTCTCAGGGGAAACAGCAGCCCCGAGTCACAGGCCCAGGCCCTGGCAGTCAGCACTCACCACGGGACCGCAGGTAACCGCCAAAGATCTGGTGAACAAGCGTCGTGGCCTGGGTCTGGCGATCCAACCTAGGGACAGCAGCACTGGCTCTCACACTGCCCCTCCGCAGCAGCCACCCCCATGGGCCACCCACGGTCCCCCTG